TTGACTAAAAGTATAAATTCTTACCCACAAAACAGTATTTAATAAGGTTGTTTAAAATTTATAACAAGATTATTGTGAGAAACTTGCTAAAAACCCCGTCAAAGGGTTTTTTTTGCATTTTTAGGGGTGTTCTTACCATTTTAGGGGCGGGACCCCAATTTTCGTAATCAGCGACCCAGTGTATTAGAAGTAGTCTCTATTTGTGGCGTAAATTGCAACGTTTCACCTCACGTTTTAATGCAATGCCTCAATTATTAGGTTTTTTTTTGGTTTATAAAAATGCCTTACTGAATTTCAAATTTTTCGCACTTCCCAAAGAAATAACATTAAATTCTAAGCAAAAAAAAATTTCATGAATTCCATTAAAAAAATACTTTTGTACGTCGCCGTTTTCTGGAACACTGTATATTTCAAGTTAGGTTCAAGTCATGGCTTTTTAACGCTAATTTTCACGTGTAAAATGTTGTGTATCAATATCTTTATTAACTTCGGAGATATTTACGCGGTTCCACACTTTTACTAATCGCTGGGCGGTATTGGAACGTAGTCTTCAAGAATTGAGACATCATTTTTTTGAAAACAAATATCACTTATATTTCAATTTTGTATGAATTACGTATTCGATTTTTTTCCAAACCACCTTCTTAGAAAATACTGTAATTTTTTTTGTAATTTTTCAATTATGCACCTATTTTTTACCAGTCTTACACCGTCTATAATTGTGACCGACAGCGCCTGCGAACCCCAGCACACCCGGTACAGCATTCCCAACCTTATTAATCACTTCCTAAAAATCACTTAATTTCCAGTAACTTTACCATATTTTTACTGGTGGTGCGATTTCAACTGCAGAGAGTGTATTTCCAATACCATGTATCTAATAGTAATTTTTACAACATCCATAATATTTCGTATATTATGTATTATTTGTATGAAATTTGTTGTGGGATATTATTTGTTCTTGAACAGTTTTCGATGGCTGTATGAAAACTTTGTTTTAAAGTGATCATCGCATTCAATTGTTATTCAAAAAGATACAAATTAGAGGTTTGGGAAATAGTATTTTATTAAGTCTAGTGATGTTAATACACCACCTAAATAGAGTTTCTTCTTTTTCTTGAAAACATTTTCAATAAATAAAATATCTATATTGTACAAATACTGTAAGATAATCGTATTGTTGATGTCTATAGGAAAACAATATGGGCTGATACTTACAGGTCTGCAGTTTGGCGTATTCCAAGGATTGTCACACGTGGTCCAAGGCAGTAGATTTGTAAAAGATGCAAAAAAAGAATCGTAAAGCCCAGGCAATTATAACATTATAGTAGAAATCAACATAGAAGGCTATCAAAACAACAGCGTAACCTATACCTGAAAAAGAAGAGAACATACGTAAATATACAGGTGACACAAACATACTTTTTTTTCTTTATTTATAGACAAAATTTAAAAAAAAATTATCGGCGTCTCATATTCATAACGAGTGTCAACTATTGACATATAAAAGATATTTATGCAATTTCCGGTTTTTACCATAAGTGCTACCAACTTACAATTTTCAAACGGAACACCCTATACATATTATAATATTTGTGATTTTTACAATAATTCTCATATATTTTTTTTTGTATTTAGTGATACCAAATAATTCCGATATTTTTTTAAACATTTTTTTTTATTTTCAAATTAAGTGTGTCATGATCACTTAATTCCTTTAATCCTAGTGATCCTAAAAATCCTAGTGATCCTATAAAAACTCAATTGACGGTTGAAAACAACTAATCCGCTACCACTACTATTTCTTATATTTGTAAACGACTTACCAGGTGTAAGTAACAGTTACAGTTTTTACTTGTAGTGATACTACGAATATCAGTTATTATTTTTAAATCCAGAGTTCCGCGGATGGAGTAAAAAATCATTCAAAAATCAAAACATTATATTTTTGTTAGAAAAAACATTTTTTTTTGTTAAAACTGTAAAACTAGGAGTAATTGTAAGGGTATTTAAGCCCCATTTTTCAAATGGGAAACTCCGGGTACATTAATTATATTTTTAATATATTTGAAAATTCTTCTTTTTAGTGATACCAAGCTTAATACTATATGAACTGTAAGGTCAAAACCGTTGATATATTACAAATTTTAAAAGTCGGTAGTTCACTAACTATTCACTGGGGACCCACATTATTACAGTTTTTTTAAATCGGCTTTTAGAGGGGAATCCAAATATGTAATAATAGGTCTAATAACAGGGTGTTCCATTAAAAAATGGAATATATTTTATTAAACGCACCTGTATACACAGTTGTGGTATACATAGCATTTAAAAAAAATTAGACGCAATCCTGCATCTTTAATTTGAAACTTACTTACTTAGTTACTTTGAACTTACGAACTTAATTTTAAAAGAGATGATGCCCCAGTTAAAATTTAATGAAAACCCCTGTACATCACACCACTCAGAATGTGGCAGAAGGAGAATATATACCGGGTGACCACGAGATTACTACCCAGGCTCTAGCTGAGGCATGAAAAAATATATCGATTTCAAATTTTGGGAATGTATATCATTGAATGGGATGCAAAATTTAGTTATAAAAACAACTGATCATCGCTTCCTGTTTGACCGGAAATGCCTTAAACTTTGTTATTTTATATGGAACACCCTGTATGTTAAATATTTTTTTAATTCTACTGAAAAAACTAAGACTAAAACATGTATCATGTCCTATACCTATCTTTGACAGTTTCCGAGAAAATCGCGTTTAAAGATGTCAAATGTGTCATTTATAAAATTCTTTTGAAAGAAAACAAGTGAAGATAGGGACAAACTCATATGATATCTTTAACTTATTTTGGAAGCACTAAAGCCTGATATCATTAAAATTTCGCACTTCCGCCTCAACCGGAAAATACCGGAAGTCATCTTTAGTAGCAATTTACTGCAATAATTTTAATGGAATGCCCTACAACTAATTGGAAATTCGAATTCTACAAACAATTTCGAATCATTCTTATGTACACTTCCCTATACCCAAAGTTCATAGTTTTTGAGATATAATATTTTATTCAAAAAAACATAAAAAAATAGTAAATTTTAAAAAATGCAACATCATCCATAAATTAAATGTTCAAATTGTCCACCATTCATTTGATGACATAAATGAATCCTGTTTTCAAATTCCCTTAACACATTTTCCATTTGAGCAGGAGTAATATTGTTCACCGCTCTTGTAATCCGATCGCGGAGATCTTGTAAATCAGTAGGCTGTGTTCTGTACACTGCTTCTTTAATGTGACCCCAATAGAAAAAATCCAAGGGAGTGATATCGCAGGACCTAGCTGGCCATCTAACTGGTCCGTACGTACCTATCCAACGATCTTCAAACGTTTTATTCAAATGATCCCTAACCCTTCGAGCATTATGGGCTGGGGCTCCGTCCTGCTGGTAATAAATGTGGAAATATTCATTTATTGGTAAATTTTCGAGAAAGTCAGCTATTTCATTGCTTAAAAACTGTAATTACTGGTGTGCTGTTAGTGGATTTTCAAAGAAAATTGGTCCAACGATGCGCGTTCCAATTACTCCCATCCACACATTAACACCAAATCTCTCCTGGAAAGCACCTTGTCTAAATAAGTGAGGATTTTCTCTTGCCCAATATCTCGAATTATTTTTATTGAACATACCCAAATTCGTGAAGCGTGATTCGTCAGAGAAAAGGATAAAGCGGCTTAAATTTGGGCGTTGCTGCACCATAAACCAATTACAAAACTCCAGCCTCCATTGGTGATCGGCTTCATAAAGATGGTGGTGTACCTGGTACTTAAATGGCTTAAATTTGTGCTTTTTTAAAATATTTCTGACGCTTTCCCGTCCAATTCCAATATTGGCAGCAATTTGTCTAACTGAAGTAGTCGGATCTACCTCAATACACGCCAGAGTATTAATCTCCGCCTCTTCACTAACAATAAACTCGTTAGGTTCTTCTTCAATACTTTTGGTTTTTAAGTGACGTTCAAGCCAAGGGAAATATTTATCATGTGGTTGTGCACGATCTGGATATCGTTGCCCGTATAAAGCTTTTGCTTCCCTGCGATTTTTTTCTCATTTCTCCATACACTAGCAGCATGTCGATTTGATGTTCGCGAGTAAAAAGTGGCATTTTAAATAAAAGAGAAGTAATAACACTACCACCAAACGTTGTAAACAGTAAGAATTAATTGTCAAATTAAGCAACAATGAAGAAACTGACGTTTAAAAACAAAAGCCTGTGATAGCGCCTACCTATATTATAATTCCTAGGCACCTCTGATAGATGCATTGACTGATTCTATCGTTTTCTATTTATGCATCCGTTCATACCTATGACATTCTGACATTAAACATTTAATATCTCAAAATCTCAAGAATGATTCGAAATTGTTTGTAGAATTCAAATTTCTAATTAGTTATAGGGCATTCCATTAAAATTATTGCAGTTAATTGCTACTAAAGATGACTTCCGGTATTTTCCGGTTGAGCCGGAAGTGCGAAATTTTAATGATATCAGGCTTTAGTGCTTCCAAAATAAGTTAAAGATATCATATGAGTTTGTCCCTATCTTCACTTGTTTTCTTTCAAAAGAATTTTATAAATGACACATTTGACATCTTTAAACGCGATTTTCTCGGAAACTGTCAAAGATAGGTATAGGATATGATACATGTTTTAGTCTTAGTTTTTTTCAGTAGAATTAAAAAAAAATATATAATATATAGGGTATTCCATATAAAATAATAAAGTTTAGGGCATTTCCGGTCAAACAGGAAGTGATGATCAGTCGTTTTTGTAACTAAGTTTTGCATCCCATTCAATGATATACATTCCCAAAATTTGAAATCGATATATTTTTTCGTGCCTCAGCTAGAGCCTGGGTAGTAATCTCGTGGTCACCCGGTATGTACATGAGAGACGCACAACCAAACACGATTTTTACCTGTGTCAGGTGCGAATTGCCACAGACGGGATTCGAACCTGTGCAGATAATATATTTTGAAGTAATCGCCATGCTCTACCCACTGAGTTATGCGGCAGTCGTATTAGTCTAGGATATGGCGCGTCAAAAAATTCATGAATCCTAACTGTCTGCCGTGTGGTAAATAAGCTCCCGAGTCGATGTGGAGCATTTTTTCTCATACCACATATATATGGCAAAGCGGCTATTTTCGAGATAGAGGGGGGGGGATCTGGGAAAAAAGTGGACCCTAACCGTCTCGAAGTCAAAGTATCCATTTTTAATAAACCGGGAAAAATAGTGGCAGACAAAACTTTATGGCGGTTTCGGAGGGGGAGTGGGGTTGACGAAAACCGGAAAAAAAAGTGGATCCTAACCGGATTTACCAAAGTGCAATGTTCTGGTTCCAACATGCATTTTTATGGAAAAATAGTTGCAGACACCGCAGACTGACAGTATAACGGTAATTTTCAATCTAACATGGAAGAATGTCTCAAAACTGCTATAATATAGCATAAAATAAGTAAAAATTGAAAAAAAATATCTGTCGCTTGCCAAGTATGTTCCCTAACGACCGCACGTTACATACTGCTGGCAGACATACAGCAGTTTTGAGAAATTATTCCATGCTGGATTGCGAATTACCGTCATACTGCCAGTCTGCGGTGTCTGCCACTATTTTTTTCATAAAAGTGCATGTTGGAACAAGAAAATTGCACTTTGGTAGATCCTAACCGGATCTACCTTTTTTTCCCAATTTTTTTCCGGTTTTCGTCAACCCCATCTCCCTTCCGAAACCGCCATAAAGTTTTGTCAGGCACTATTTTTCCCGGTTTATAAAAAATGGATACTTTGACTTACCGTTGCTTCCAGACGGTTAGGATCCACTTTTTTTTTCTCAGATTTCGACCCCCCCCCCTCTATCTCGAAAATGGCCGTTTTGCCATATATACGTGGTATGAGAAAAAATGCTCCACATCGACTCGGGAGCTTATTTATCACACGGCAGACAGGTTAGGGTTCGTGTTCATGGATGTTTTGACGCGCCATATCCTAGACTATATGTTCTTTAAACCAAGTTAAAAGTTCTATTTTTGTTTGCTTAATAGATTTGTTAAATAGACTTGATCATCTTATATACAGGCTGTTTCATGACGACCGTGAGTTATCGACATCTGGAAATTGGTTCAGACGATTTTTATAAAATTTGGTGTGCGGGGGTTTTGAAATCATTCTGAATTTGATCAAAATATCTTGTATTAAGTCTGAAATACTTCTGGTTATACCGGAAATCGTCATTAACTTTTTTATTTCAAATGGAACATCCTGTATATTATTGTATTTTCGAATTCTAAGATAAATTTTAGGGGTACTTTTATGAGGAACTACTATACCTAACCTGACGGTTTTTGAAAAAAAATTTAAATTTTATTTTGGAAAAAAGTACCATATTGAAAAACCCATATTTTTTTCCAATTCATAGAATTGATATTTAACCCTTGTTGCCAGGAAGGCATGCATCACTTATTACAACATTCATTTTATACAGAGTGTCGACTGTAACTTTTCCAAATTATTCATGTTTGACTCTTAACAACTTTGTTTTTTTTTTCAAATGGAGTACTCTGTTAATTACACAGCCCCAAAAAAAAATGTCAAGACCCAGAGGGTAGATCCCCCCCACCTCTTCGTTTTTGGGGTCGTTCAAACCGAATATGACCATAAAAAAATTTAACTAGCCATTTCCCCATTATCACCACCATACACCCCCTTCTTCATACAAAGTCGAGTAGGGTGTGTATTCCTACGTTTTCTGGGCCACTAAGAACGAAGAAGACTACCAAAAATAAATTAGACCCCCTCGTTACCCCCTAGCGTCACTTTATCACCCCCATACACCTCCTTCTGGGAGTTGACATGTAAATTCTCATACAAAGTTGAGTGGGGCATGTATACCCATGTTTTCTGGGCCACTAAAAACGAAGAACACTACCAAAAACAAATTCGACCCCGGCGTCACCCCTAGCGCCAATTTACCACCTCCCATACACCCCCTGAAGGGGGTTGAAATGTCAATTCTCATACAAAGTCGAGTCGGGTTAGTATTCTTATTCGAGTTTATTGAAACATGGCGCCGAGCGGTTGTAGGCAAAGGTGGCCTATACCCGAGGAAGGATGGAGGAGGAAGAGGTGGAGGTGGGAGAGGGAGGAGCTCACAGTGTCAGAAGGTTAGAGGGGAAGATCTTGCCTCTGGGAAGATTTTGGAAACGGCCTGCAAAATATTTGCGAAATATTTTTTTTTCATAATCACCGAGTAAATACAGTCTTTTTATACATGTGATTTTTCTTTTGAATTTTTATTTCATCCCAACATATCGTCTGTGAGATTTTACAATAGTTGTATCTTTAAATGCAGCTTTAGAGTTCGCAATTTTTATTGCCAGCAAGAAAAATTACAGCAATTTTTATTATACGCATGCGTCATTATGTTTGTTCGTGCAATTTATTGCAGATAAAAATTGCAAGGCTGGAGTTGTCTTGTCAATATCTTCCACTTTTGTATCTTTGCCATCTCAGTATGGATTTATGTTTATTGTTTCTTTAGGGTTCCACTACAGTTATGTAAAATGATAGGAAACTTTCTGTAGAATGGTGTAATGAAAAAATAGAATGGACCGCAGGGTTTATTTCGTTTAATAATGAAGATGCATTGTTTGGGTGATCTGTCATGCTGTGCAGAAGGATATATTAGGGGAGATATTTTGATATTAGAAAGCCTAGATAACAATACTTAAAGGTAACCCCTAGTGTTATTATGAAAAAATTTGACAGCATGAAGATCCATTATCGGTATTCCAGTACTTGTACCAACAGATCGGCTAGGAAAGTAAATAGTTCCCTTGGCTATTTACTAGCCTACTATCTCATCTAATATTCTTTCTACTAATCGATTTTCTAACCAATAATTTTTTCTTTGATACATTCTTCCTCTTCATCGATTGTGTACTTGCATTGTGTCTAATACAAACACATTAGATATTAGGAAACTTTTAACATAGCTTTTTTATCTCAATGAATTTTGAACTCTAGGTTTTACGACCGCGAATATCCATATTTATCTACAAATCACTGCTACTAGTGAGCTAGAATTTAAAAAATAGTTTTATGTTTATACGCCTACATACTTCGGACTTGGAATAGTTCACTGGTAGATTATATCAGCAACTGTACAAGTAGCTTTTAGTAGTTTTTACCAATGTAAACGCCGCTTTAGGACATTGAAAAATCGTCTCCTACGCCTGAGGTCATGGAAGCTATCCACTTATTTAATTGTTATCACAATAAAATATATTTTTCAGATAATTCCTCTGAATATGATTATTAGAGTGTCAGATTCTCATTCCACTTCCAGCTTCGGATCGGATCATGGACGAGAGTGCATTTTATTTTAATTGATTGGAAGTGAATTAAAATTTGATACTCTAATGATTGCATAAGTTCTACACTGTTCTAATAATTTTGAAGGGCCAATTTACTAAATTTTTCTTTTCGAAATTTCGTTAACGTAAAATTTTGATTATGTAGTTTGACTATTTACTTAGATGCTAGATGTACTAAAAAAAACTGTGACAAAAAATTAAATTTTCTGATAGTATTCGTCATTATTAAGACTCTATATAAATGAAGTAGTTGTAGAACGGAATAATTGGGTGTAAAAATTGTAAATACTGTTTTACACATACCAATTTATTGCACAATCAATTGTAGAATTTATTTTTCAATAAATTGTTCAATTTAGTATTGCAAACTTTACACTTTGCAATATTTGTAACAATTTATTGGCCAATTTCAACACTGCTAACTCTCAATGACTAAAACCTAAGAGTTATCATAGGTTTGTCCCTAAGAGAAATCGCTTATCTCATTGTGAGGTTGGTACAATGAAATACATGTAAAAAGTCACTAAATATCCTTAAAATTGGCCAAGAAATTAGAGCAAGTTCTAAATTCTACAATTTATTGTGGACAATAAATTGGGCGCAATTTCTGTTTTACACGAATTCCAATAAATTGAAGGTACAATTTATTGTGAAAACAATTGGTGTGTGTAATCATAAGATGCATTAAGTTCAAGTCCGTTTCTATTACAAATTAATTTTATTAGACAGGAATATAAGAATTTATGTATGTTTTACGTGATAAGCGATAACTCAAGTATCAACTCAGAAAACAAGAGAAAGAGCTTAACGTCTTCATAACCTAATAGAGTGCTTTTATTTGCAAATTTTTTCGCTTAAGCGGAAAGTAGTAAAAGGGAAATTCACCGTCTTTTAAGTCGAAAGAGTGGCGAAATGGACGATATAATCTTCTCCGACCGAATAACCATCCTTCAAGTGTTCTAATGGGACCGTACAACTGAATTCCTTCTGAATATAGAGCTGGATTTGTCCCGACCAGTGGCATCACGTTCAGAGGATTACGGAAGGATCCAACGTCGTATATCTTTATTAGAGTTATTATAGTAAAATTAATGGGTTATACTTAGTTCATTATTACTTCCACATCCATGTAGTGGAGTGGAAGTCTAGTATCGATGAATAATTTAAAAGTATATACATATATTGGCTATATTAGCTATATATAGGCCAAAAATGTTCTTAACCGTCGAGATTGAGCAAAAAATTGTTTACCTGTCGATTACTTTTTTGTGAACACGATATAACTCGAGAACATAAACTACATATTAACTTGAAACTAGGAACTTATACTTACTTCGATTTTTCAATATCATAGAGGTATGGAGAACACCTTTTTAAAATATCTTTTGTCTTTGGTTTAAGTATTTTTTAAATGATGTGTCGAGTTGAGAAAAAAATTCTGGAATTTTGCAATTTTTACTACCAGTACTAAATAATAATATGATAATACTAAAAAAAGTACCAATCTAGGCTTTCAAAACTCATTTTACTTAAAATGACACATCGACTCAATCGCTACATATGTATGTACATAATTCGCTTGTCCGGAAGAATAGTGACACATCTCAAAAATAAGAACTTGTCAAGAAACGCAATTGAA